AGGCGCTCGAACTTCATGCTTAAGAGGAACATGATGTAGGTCACTGGGTCGGTGTGGACCCCATCGATGTCAGCACCATAGTTGATAATGTCAGGCGGTACCCTCATGGCGAGTGTCCTCGCTAGGCCACCCAGGCCGCGTTGTATGGCGGCCGCTTGGGCCTGTGGCGTCATGCGTCCGCTTGTGACGTTGAGCCACGCGTTGCCCTCATAAACGTACTCGCGGAAAGGTACGTTGCCTTGAGGGTCCCAGTATGGGCCATGTGTTTGCCCATCGGTGCTGTTGTCTCCACGACGCATGCGTCCGATTGCTGCCCCCAGCGCGAACCATATGATAGCGAAGATAACCAGCCCAAGGCTGTGTAAATAGGGGTGGTTATTAGGCGCGTTGCCGCGCTGGAGTAGCGCCTTGTCGAGTCTTCGAGGCGCTCTATCTGGCGGATATCTCCGCCCATGCTTCAAGTGCTGCGCTTTTGGCTCGTTGCCGAGCGGTTGGTAGTAGCGCAATGATGAAGCATATATGGTACCGATGTTGTTGTCTAGACGTCGTACCTCTCGTGTTGCTTCTTGCGCTTGGATAGATCCTCGTAAACGTACTGGGAGTGGTAGCGCAGGGTGGTAAGTGGTCACGAGGATCGTGCCGAAGAGTACAAGGATGAGAAGAGCAAGAGCTGACCACACGAGAGCGCGGCCAGCTCCGCTACCAAGTCGAAAAAGAGCCTGGTAGGTCAAATAGCATCCGTCTCCATGGGAGGCGGATGACCTCACATTGCATCCAATTCCATGTCGAAGGAATACGACACGGGGAGTGGATGGGTATGATAGGATAAGATCGATGTATCGGTCTTTCCAATACATAGCGAACACTAAGGTAAGTGTCCGGGCAAATAGGGCGCGCGTGCCTTGAGCCAAAGGCAACGGCGCGCGAGCTATACTCCCGATACTATAACATCTCCCAAAGAGCTACCCTTAAAGTACCTTTGCTTGGACAGAGGTATCGCTGCGAGTATCCTTGCGGTACTGCGTAGTTATATACATTCTTCCGCGCAATTCCATTGCACCCTGATGTTCCACCATATTTGTAGTCCACCAGCTACTGCCGTGAATGGTGAGGAGTCGAGCTAGAGCTGACCACCATAGGCCAGCCCCGCTACCAAGTTTGAAGGGGGCTGGAAGGCCCAGCCAACAACTTCGCCTCAGGCGAAGCCGAGCTCCCGCTCTGCTGTACCGTAGTAGCGATAGTCCCAGTATGAGAGGAGATGCCATCTCAAGCAATAGGAAGATCCGTTTGGTCTCGATAGCGATTGTGTGCCTCGCAATGAGGCGCAGTCATATTTGGGCGGCCGGCCGCTTGAGCCGACGCGGCCGCGGGCGCACGCTCGCTTCCACTCCTCACGTCCCTCAGCTCGCTGTATAATAAGAAGGCCAACATCAATGTCTTTCCTTAGTCGTTTCAAATGCCTTGCATTGGGTGTTTGAAGAATTTGGGCGTTTGCTCATGTTCCGCTTTCCCACTGCCCAAGATGGTCCCAGCGGCCACCAAGATGGCCCAGGAACTCCTCAGAAGCGGCCCCCGAGGTAGCCTCCTGACGGCCCAAGAGGATCCGAAGGCTACAAAGAGGTCCAAGGAAACCCCGAAGAGGCCCTCAGGAAACTTCCAGGAGGCCGCAAGAGTGCCCCAAGAGGCTCCCAAGAGGCCTCCTTCTCCTCCTTCGCCTCCTTTTTCCTCCCTCTCCTCCTCGTTTTTTTCATCCCCACGTGTTCTCCGAAAGGTTTCAGCAACGGCTGGGGGTGCACATGATCCGATAGCCTGGCCGAGCTCTGGCCACAACGTTCGGCCACCTAGGTTCTTCCAACAAGCAGGGTGTGGCAATTCGCCGTAGGCGTTTTGATCCGCCGCCCCGCACGGCGATGTTGCGCGCACGGCCCCCTAACCCTCTCTGGAGAGCTGCAGTTTGCTGATGCGGGGCCATGCGAGCACCTGCGAAAGCCAGCCATTCGGTGATCATCGGCACATTCCTGTACGTTCCCAGCTGAATCCCAACATTGGGGGTCTGTTGTTGTCGCTGTCTCGATTACGGTGACTATGTCTGCTAACGGATCCATTGCACAACCATCTGAGAAAATAGATAACCGCCTCCACACGTTTCAGCCGTGAGTTAATTCTACTCAGGCGCATTTCCTCTAGCAATTCCCGTTTTCGTGAGTGCGGTCAAACGTCGAGGTTGGAGGCTTCGCACATTTCCGTGCGGTATGTTTCCTGGCTCGGGTCGTTGGGACTTGGTGTCCGATTCTCCGCTCGGAGGGACTACAGGTCTGATGGGCTTGACGTGCGACAACACTATGAAAATATGTTGAACCTCGCATGTTGGCTCTGGTAAGTCGAGCTCGTGTCTAAGCTCATACCCGGAATCCATAATAGATCCACGGAATCGCGGATGGAGTTTGGGCCCTTAGTCGGGAGTGAAAGCGTTCACGTGGACCGTGCCAACAAAAACAAGCAGGTACGATCACATGGGGGGTAACCGCACGAGAGTGTGGCCAACTCCGCTACCAGACCGAACTCAACATGGTAACGGCATGGTGCATTGCTACCTCTCACACTGGAAGTCTGGAGGCACTTTATAATGTGTGAAGATCAGGGCGGCATGTCCTTTCCTCTTAAATGGTTGGTTGGTTTGGGTCCTGTTGGTTCCGTGCCCCTCCCAGAGAGAGAGAGAGAGAGAGCGAGAGAAAGAGAGAGAGAGAGAGAGAGAAAACACATAGAGAGAGAGGTTGATATAATAAACAAAACAACACAACACAGAGAAGCCCAAGGCTGCCTGTAAAGGCCCCCAAGACGGCCTCCGAAGGCCAAGAGGTTGTCTAAAGATCCCCAGAGGCCCCCAGGAGACCCCCAGGAAGCCCAAGAGGCCCCAAAGAGGCATCAATCAGCTCCTTTAAAAGGCTCCCACCAGGAAGCCCCCAGGAGGCCCGAAGTGGGTCTCAAGACACCTTTTCAATTTCCTCCTGCTCCACCTTGTCATCCTTCTTCTTCTCCTCCTCCTCCTCCTCCTCCTCCTCCTTCCTTTTCCTCTCCCATGTGTTCCCCCGAGGGGGTCCAGACGGCTGGGGGGCACATGGTCCGATAGTTTGGCCAGATTTTGGCCCAACGCTTGGCCGCGTTAGTGCTTCCAAAATTGGGGGGCGGCGGTGATTCGCCGCAGGCGTCTTCGATGCGCCGCCCCCTGTGGCTTGCCACTGGGGTGCATGGCGTGCTGGACGTGTGGTTGCTTTGGTGCTTTTTGGAAATTTCCAATGGGGTCTCGTCTGCTGACCAAAAGCCCTAACACGGCCTCCGACGGCCAAGGGGCTCGTTGAAAGGCCCCCGCGGACCCCGGGATCCCCCCAGGAGGCCCCCAAAAAGCCCCAGGAGGCCTCCAAGAAACTCTTCATATGGCCCCAGCAGGCTCCCAAGAGGCCCCAAGAGGGTTTCAAGAGGCCTCCCATGTGTTCTCCTCCTCCTGTTCCTCTTCCGTTTCCTCTCTCTCCTTTTTTTTTTCCCCTCGCCTCCCACGTGTTCCCCCCGAGGGTTCCACAACGGCTGGGGGGAACGCATGGTCCAATAGCTTTGCAGACCGTGGGCCCAACGCGGCCGCACTATCTGGGCGTCTCCTAATAAGGCAAGGGGCGGCGGTGATTCGCCGCACACATGTTGAATCCGTCGCCCCCCGTGCTTGGCACAGGGGTGACCGCCGCGCCTAACTGTAAATTAAGTGTCGGTCCTTTTCGAACATGTCCGACTGGCCTTCGGCCCGCTACGCCGCGTTCCCCCCCGCCACCGCGTGAGGGCCGAAACGTCGGTGAAACTCGTTTCCAAGACTACCACGATGGCTCGAAATTGTTTCAAGAATGCCCCCCCCCCCCAAAAAAAAAAAGAATGTATGTATGTATGTATGTATGTATATATATATATATGTATACATATATATATGAGCTTAGGCTGCTACCCGTGCCAAGATCAATTTTTCTTCGGCATGCTCCGCTGCTTCGAAGCAATTCAAGAGAACGAGCGGCAGGCGGTGACAGGGCAGCACGAGGGCGCTGACCTGAACAGACTGAGCGAGCGGCACTCAAGACTCTGAGCCCCCTGGGTTGGCGAAGTGACGCCCAGGAAGGTGGAAGATGGGGACGGCAGGCGGGTCCTGGAAAAACTTGAGCATAAGTTGCGAACTACGGCACTGAACGCAGCAAGAGATCATTAATGTGCAAGCACAACGCATGAGCTTAGGCTGCTACCCGTGCCAAGATCAATTTTTCTTCGGCATGCTCCGCTGCTTCGAAGCAATTCAAGAGAACGAGCGGCAGGCGGTGACAGGGCAGCACGAGGGCGCTGACCTGAACAGACTGAGCGAGCGGCATTCAAGACTCTGAGCCCCTACCCACTGCCATCCAGTGTCTTGGCCTTGGCCACCACCAGCGCTGCGAGATCTTTGCAGAGCGCCGCAGGGTAAGGACGCGCTCTCGAGGTCCAGAACACACCGAGCGGGTCTTTACCCTTCAGTGTTATGTGCGCCTTACCAGTGGCACTACACCTTTTTTGACAGCCTGTACACAGGCGGAGGGGCGGCTGCGCTGGCAGCCAATTGTTTAGCAAAAAGGTTGTCGACTTTTTCCAGGGGACCTGATACTGGCAGTAATCAACAGAAGCCCACTCGGCGTGAGCTTCGCGGGCCCTGTCCAGAAGTTCCGGGACCAGCCAGAGGCGAGACGAGCGAGGGTTCTCGAGAGAGAAAGGGACTCCCGCCTCGACGGCAGCAGCCAGCAGGCGCAGAACATTAGCGAGCAGACGATTGGCGATCCTAACCTTCTCAGCGTCCGCCGCCGCCAGCCGAGGGAGGCCGTGCACATTCGCGTCGTCCCTGAGTGGCGGCGGACCCCGTCCATCATTCTTCCTTGCCCGGCTCCGCGTTTTGCAGTCCAGGCCAACATGCGCCCCCGCGACCTCCTTCCGTGAGATCCTCAATGCCAGACTGTCGATGAGGGATTCATCAAGAAGGTCGGCTCGCGGGTCATCAGCGTAGCCCCAGCCTTCCGAAGCCCAGCCGGCGGCGTGGACGGCCTTGGCAAATGCGGCGGAGCCGCACATGAGCTCGATGAACGGCCTGGCACGGGCGCGGGCTGCGGCACCTTGGCAGAAGGTGCGGGGCGGCGCATGCTGGGCGCGGGCGCCGCCTGCAGCCGCGCCGACGGCGTGGCCGTCCGCGGCCTCTGGGGCCGCGCCAGGAGCCTCTCGAGCTCGGCGTGCAGCTTCGCGGGCGCCGCCTCGGCCCTGCGGCGGACGTCGTCCGGGAGCGCCGCAAGCTCCTGCTGCGCCAGCGCATGGGCCTCGTAGCGCCTCATCGTGTAGTCGCTGGCCCACCGCCCGCGCCTCTTGATCTCGCCCATGGATCGATACCTCTTGAGGCGATCGTGCGACGGGCCCCCGTGGCGGAGCTGGTAGGGCACGCGCCTGGTGGGCACCTCGGCCCGCTCCAGCGACTGGCGCCACAGGACGCCGAGCTGCGCGGCGGTGAGACGGAACAGCGGCGCCTGCGGGTCTCCCGACCTCGCGCGCGCCAGCGGCGGGCCCAGCCAGGGCACCTCGACCGAATCGAGGAGCAAGCTCTCGTCCGACAGGCTGGTCTTGCTGCACTCGCCCCTCGCGCTGGGGCGCAGGTTGAAGCCGTAGTCCGCGCGCGAGCGGGGGAAGAGGTCCTGCTCGCGCAGGCCGACGGCCTCGGAGGGCCTGAGGTACACCCAGAACATCGTCACCACCATGAGCGCCGCGTGCGGGGACCCCAGCTGCGTGGCCATCACCAGTGCGACCAGTGCGACCAACTGCCAGGGCATAGGCGGGCGCGTCTGGCCTGGGCCCAGGCGCTTCCAGCCCTGGGGGGCCCGACAGAAACGCGGCAGGCGGAGCGGCCCCTTTCGGGAAAAATCGGGGTGCGCCGAGATGTACGCGGCATATGTTTTCAGGACGGCGGCTCTCTCGAGCCCGATGCTCCAGGCGTAATCGGCGTAGTTCATCAGCGCCAGGTCGACCTGAGCAGCGGTGCGCAGCGGCGGCCCGAAGCGGTCCACGAACGTCTGGAAGTCGTCGAGGGCGTCCTTGTAGTATGCCTGGGTCTCGGGCGCCACCGCGTTCCACTCCAGGAAGCTCCTCTCGTCCCCCCCCCCACCATCGCGAACGGCCCCGAGGCCCGCAGACGGTGAGCGATCCTCTCCTCCTTCGTCGCCCCAACGAACGGCCTGCCCTTCAGGAAGCTCTTCTGCACAATCTTGGGGCTGGCAGCCGGGCGCTTGACGGACACCGCGCGGGGCAGGCGAGATACCTCCCGACTTGGCATCCCAGCGCCTCGACCCTTCATCGGAAGGGTTGAGCTCCGAAGGTATCCACCGATGCTCGAACCGCGACGCAGTGGCGACGGAGTAGGCAGCCTCTCTGCGGCAGCACAGCAGAAGGGGGTAGGAGGAGCATCGCCCACGTCCGAGCGCGAGCACGGTGCCGAGGTTGTCCCCGAAACGCAGATGACGGAGACCAAAGGAGGCCTGTGCCCTTGTGATATGACGTGATGTCATGTTCGAAGCCCTCCCCTCGATAATCGTGATGGGCTCCTTGACGTGAACCCTGGCCGAGACCACCTGCTTCCACTGGGGGCCTTGCAGAGCCTGGACGGGCACCTCTGTGAACTGCGGGTTGAGCTCCCAGGGGTCCTTCACAAGGTCCATGCTGGTACTCCTGGGGGCCTTGACGGTCTCGATGTCGCTGAAGACGTCGAACGGCCCCTCCGAGGCCTCGTCGCATCCAGAACGGGCTCCCAGAGCTGACCGGCGTGCCGAGATAGCCGAAGGCATGCGATATCTCCATCTCTCACTGACTGACCCGACGCGCTTGACAAGATCCGATGACAGTGTTGTCTGGCACGTCGCCATACCCGTCAGGCAAGCGTCGTAGGCGAAGACAGTCGGCGACCACTGAAGCCGAAGGTTAGCAGACATCAGCGGCAGCAAGCGACGGCACTGCTCGACTTCGCGGGCAGCTGAGGGCCAGAGACGGGCTCGCACGTGATAGCAATCTCTGACGAAATCATACAAACTCCTGAGGATCGAGAGCAGCTCCCTCTTCAGCATCAAATGATCAATGAGATGACCCACGTACCTCTCCACCTCCCTCCCCGTGACTCTAGGGCGCTGCTCTAGCCACAGTGAGGCCTGGCGGAGGCGCTCGGAGCGCTCGGGCCGTGAGAAAACTCGCCCAGACGCGCCGTCGATCAGGCGGCCGAGGCTGGTGAAGACGTCGGTGGCCTCAACCACCTCGTGGATCTGCACGCCATGCTTCCTCTAGGCGTCGCAGATCTGGTGCATCAGGACATTGCATTTGTGAGGGTCAGTGCCGATCACGTTGATGTTATCGCAATAGGGTAGGAGGCAAGGGACCCCCCCGTCGAGCGGGGGCACCGGACCGTGATCGGTCAGCACCCGCGGGAACCCGAGCCCCGAGGCAGAGCAGCAGACGTGCGCATTCGCACGCTGCCCAAGCCAGAAAGCCCAAGACCAGCCCATCGGCACGACCCGCAGGAACGGCCAGACCCAGCCCCCTGAGGGGCCCTCGGGAGTGTCCACTGCCTCAACCCCCCATTGCGACAACGAAGCCTGTGACACCGGCGGCAGCGAGAAGAACAGTCCCAGCTCCTCCCTCAGGCCGAGAGCGTAGAAGTAGTTGCGCACATCAGCCTGGGCACAGAAGAACTTGGTGCTGAAGCTGCCGTCCTCCTCACGATCATCAGGTAGCTGAAGGCGACCGCACGCAGCCGATGTCCCCATGGCCAGCGGCGGCGGGTCGCGAAAACGTCGATTTGGCACCCTAGCATCCCAGACGAGACGCTGTGCTCCACTCTTCTTGGCCACGAAAAAAGGTGTGACCAGGTCCTTCGGGCGGTACGTGAACCCCAGCATGTTAGCCTTCACCAGGTCGCCGATGAAGGTGTTGTACGCCACAGGGTCACGCTTCAAAACTTCGTCCATGTAGGGAGTGACGGGCGGCTCGCTATCCAAGACGCGGGACCACTCGTCGGGAGTCTTCATCATCGCTTGCTCGTAGTCCAGCACGTAGTTCCTCCCGATCCCGTCGAGCACCGACTCGACAGGAGGTATGACCGCACCCACTTCTGGGATGTCGACTCGGGATCTGACGTACCTTACCACGGGACTCGGTGCCTCGTCCGCGGTGTAGGACAGGCTGGAGGCCAGGAGCTCCTTCGCGGCTCCACGGCGAGAAAAGTGAGTGTCAGACTTCGGGGCCATCCTGACCTCGTTCAAAATGGTGGCGGTCGCGAGTCGCTGAGCCGCCGTGATGGGCCCACGCTGCTCGCAAGGAGGATGGAGAGCGTTGAGGCCCGCAATGGCATCATTGGCACACTGCTCCGTCTGCCGCCTGTGAGCCAGCCTTCGCCTCGTCGACGTAGACGCTGGCGCAGAAGTAGGCGGAGTCGGCTGAATGGAGGGCAGCGGGAACAGATCACGCTGGCGATCTTCAGCTGCTCTCAGCCCAGGAGGGCGTCCCATGTCACACGATCCTCGGACGGTCGGTACCTCCCGATCCCCGAAGGCTGCCCTGGCTGGAGGATGTGAGGTGCGTGCCGCTGGGCCCCCACGGCCACAGTCGGTCGGTACCCCACGACCCTCAGCGCCAGGAACAGCGCGAGGACGGAAGGTGCGTGCCGCCGAGGCGCCACAGGCCTTGTGTCCGTCGCGGGCCGGCCAGCCCCCGCGACTGGGAGCCGTCATGCTCCCTGCCCGCCAGTGCCGCTGGCGTCGGTCCTGCCGCCCCCCTTGCCGCGGCGCAGCTTATGCTCCTCCTTCGCCTTGCGAGCCTCCTTGAGGATCGCGGCCCGGTCGCGCATGCCCGCGGCAACGTGGCGCTGCAAGTCGGGCGCGACCGCGGCGCCCTGGCGATGAGTGGCCCAGCCCATGAACTCGTCGGCCGCGGAGTAGTCCGGGTTCGAGGGAGAGGCCGAGTGAGCGTCTTCTATGACCTGAATCCGGCGCACGACGAGCTCAGCGCTCTGGAGCGCTGGGGCATTGAGCTGATCCACGGTCACCATCGTCTCCAGCACGTGGCACAGAACCTCGTGTTCGTGAACCGAGCGATCTCCATCAGGGATACGCGCCGACCTCAGCCAGTTCGAATGATGAGTGACTGGCGTGAGCCCGGCATCACGATACGACCGCAGCACCCAGTCAGTAGTGCGAGGCCCCTGCAGCATGATGCCGCCCTCGGGCTCGTCCACGATCTGCATGTCCACGGCCTCGCTGCATGGGCGGCGGCGCGCCCCCTGCTGGTTGAAACGCACGGGCAGCACGCGCAGGTCGTCCACGACGAAGGCGTCCACGTCGGCCATGGCCACCTGGCGCGCTCCGACGAAGCCCCCAGCATGAGGCACCAGCGCCAGGTCTCCGTGAACGACGGCGCCCTGCGGGAGCGGGTCAGGCATCTGCTCGCCGCGCCGCATCCCCTGGTAGTCCTCGATAGCCAGCCACACTGTGCCAGCCGCTGCGGGGGCGGCCGCGGCCCCAGCGCGCGGGACTCCTCCCACCACGCCAGCGCCGCGAGGTACGATGGCTCCCTGGGGCGCGGCCGCCGCGGGAGGACCCGCCGCGGGCGCCGCGGCGGCGGCGGGGGCAGCGGCAGCAGGCGGCGCCACGCCCCCGACGAGGAGCGAGCCCTCGCGGATCAGCTGCTGGACCTCCGCCGCCGTCGGCACCTGGCGGAAGCGGTAGACGTGGGCCGGGTTGACCCCGGGCGGGGTCGCGCCCTGCGTCCCCGACCACCGCTCATCTCTGAGGTCGTCCGACGTCGCATATTCTGCATAATGGTCTCCATCAGGCGAATACGTGCTGACGAGACCTGGATCCCCTATCGAGACCCCCGTCACGAGCCTTTCATGATACACCGGCGGTCCAGGCAAGTCGTACTGGAAGAGTACATAGTCACCTACTCTCGCCATTGCGTCTCCTGATCAGCTGCAGCTGCTCCCGCGCTCGATCTCCCACTCCCGCCGACTCGGCGTCGGCACGGCCGCCGCGCCGCCAGACTGCACCGCCGAGCCCGAGCCCCGCGGAGACTCCCGCCAGGTACCCCCAGCAGGCCGAGGGCACGTCAAGCCCGTCAGGCCCGAGCGCCACTCCTGCAGGCGGGCAGGAGAGGTTCACCAGCGGCACGGGGCACGCTGGCGCGGGGCAGGCCAGCGCTGGGCAGACCTGGACGGGGCACGTGACGTTCGCGGGCGGGCACGCCAGCGAGACAGCGGGGCACTGGGGCACCGCCGAGAGCAGGGATTGGCGCAGCGCCAGCAGCTCGAGAGCGCGGACCCCTGCGGTCTGGAAAGACTCGATGAGGGCGGACTGAGCCCCCATCCGGGAAATCCTCTCCTGGAAAAACTTGAGCAAAAGTTGCGACATACGGCACTGAACGCAGCAAGAGATCATTAATGTGCAAGCACAACGCATATATATATATATATATATATATATATATATATAATATACATACATACATACATACATACATACATATATAGTCCGGGCGTTTACTACACTGAACAGGACGATGCATATTTATCGTGGTGAGAGCGCGAAGGCAACACGACGTGTGCCGCCGCTGAGCGAAAACACAGACTGCAAGAAAGAAGCGAGAATAATATTCGATCGAGCCTCGAGCTCGAGACCGCACCACATTCGAAAGTGGGGTCTTGCCTCAAGCAAGGTAGGGTGGGCGGGAGCCTTGAGAATTACGGAACACAGTTCGAGCGCGGCCAAATCTGTCACCACTGGGCTTAAAGTTGTGAAAACATTCAGCCCGGGCGTTTACTACGCTGACCAGGACGATGCATATTTATCGTGGTGAGAGCGCGAAAGCAACACGACGCGCGCCGCCACTGAGCGAAAACACAGACTGCAAGAAAGAAACGAGAATAATATTCGATCGAGCCTCGAGCTCGAGACCGCGCCCGATCCCACATTGGTAATCTGGCCAGCTAGGGCCGCATCACAGGCCACTATAAAGACTATGCAACCGGTGACTCTTCAAGTTTTCAGCAGTACTGATCATGCAGGCAGCGGCGGTAGAGGCGAAAGCGGGAGGGTACGGAGTCGCGATGCTCGTCCACTTGCGCCCTCCGGGCGCATTTCATCAGAGCTCGATGTGACGCTCTTTTGTACGGCTACAGACTCCCTGCTTCCCACGGCACGCGAGGCAAAGGTCGAGCGGGCTGCCCCCGTGCCAAACGCCAACTCGCGTCGCCTTTTTCCAGGGCGCACCATATCGGCAGAAGTCTGAGCAGGCGTCAAAGAAAACAGAGCTAAGCATGAGAGCCTTCATTTGCGGCGTCCACACCGCACGATAGAAGTCCTTGGATTCTCGAGGAAGACTGGCACGTTGATGGACATACACATCTTGATCAATACAACACTGAACATGAACGAGGCATTGCCAATCCTGATGCGCTCCTGTTCAGCCTCCGAAAGGTCTGGAACTCCGAAGGGCAAGTCGCTGCTACGAATGGGCCTTCCCAAGGCGCGAGTCCAAGACGTGCAAGGTGTGCCGAGCCAAAGCGCCCCAACACAGCCTGAGGATAACCAGCCTTTGATGACTTTTTGAAAGGACGGATCCAGGTGGTCTTCTCTCGCATTGTGTGCACTATCGACGGAGAGAGAGGGCGATCTCCCTGAGCGCGCAGAGCGTCTCCAACTCTTCCAGCACCTGAGAATAACTCCAAGAAGACCAGCCTCTTCATGGAACGGACTTGCGGAGTAGCGCTGGCCCTGAAACATCGCTGCAGATATCTGCGGACTTCGTCCTCGGAGAAGTCGCCAGCAGGCCGCGGAGGATGGCGCCGCCTGGGCCCAAAGCAGCGGCGAGGCGCGAGGGCAGCCGCACCGCCGACAGCGGACCCACGATGCCCTCGGACATCACGTTGCTGAAATTCGCCTCCACGGCGCGTCCTAGCACAAATATGTCCTCGGGCACCTTCGCCATCTCTAGGAGGAGGCGCGTGGTCTTCCCGTACTTCTTGAGACATGTGAGGGTGGCCCACCAGCCTCGGACCTTGACCTCCTCTTGGCTCCTGGAGCCGGTCACAAGGTCGTCGCTCGCGCCGCCGCGCCTCAGCGAGTAGAGGTGGGGCGACAGCGGGTCGAGGCCGAGGATCCGCGCCAGCGACGCGAAGAGGCGCTGCAGCTCCGCGGGCGAGAAGTCCCAGAGGCTGCCGTCAGGGTGCGACTGGGCCTTGAGGGCCTCCAGCGAGGGCAGCAGCCAGTCGCGGCGGTCGAGCAGGACAGCTGCGTCGATCATGCCCGTCTTGCCCGGGTCTCCGACCGACGCGTCGTGGAGGAGCAGCCCCCGCGAGCTGCACTGGCGGCCGGCCGCGATCTTCGGCGCCACCAGGTGCGAGCCGCGCAGCTGGAACGTCTCGAGCGGCCGCAGGTAGGCGATGAACTTGAGTGCCGCCCAGATGCACATACGCGGGTGGCCAAGGTGGCGGAGACAGCCCGCCGGGGCAAGGGCCGCCGCTCGAGGGAGCGGGAGCCTCATGCGCGGAGGCACCCTCCGCCGCCAGGCCACCAGGCAGCGGGTCGCTCTGGGGAGCTTCTCGGCCGTCGCCTTGTAGAGCTCCGGCAGGCAGCGCGACAGGCTGGCCAGCAGCTTCAAGGCCTCCTCGACGCTCGACCCCTCCAGGAACTCCGCGTTGAAGTACGAGACCAGGAGGGTGTCCAACTCCTGCGGCGAGCTCCAGTCCGTCCCGATGCTCTGGCAGAAGCTGGCGAATGCGGCGGCGGCTGCGCCCAGGCACAGGCGCTCGGTGCCCGGCTCGATGGCCGGGCGCTCCAGCAGGCTGAGGCTGCCGCTCGCCAGCCGCTGCTGCGCCAGGCGGGTCGCTGACGACGCTGGCTGCCCCTTGAGCAGGCCGGCCCGCGACGCTGGTCGAGCCATCGTCCGCGCCCGCCTCCCGCGAGCGGCCTTCGGCGCCATGCCGAGAGTCGTGGACGCCACCGGAGGTGTCCGCCTCCGAGAGCACAGGGAAAGGTGGAAGCGGTGGAGGGGTGTCAGCCGCCGGAGCGCTGGAGCCAGGAAGGCTACGCTGCTGACGCTCTCGGTGATGTGGCCCAACGAACCAGCCCAGCATACCCCGAGAGGGTGCATCTGAAATGTTGAGCTCCGAGGGGGCCCATCTGATGTGGAACCGGGACCCAGACACCAACGATAAACAGGCCAGCTTGCGAAGAGGCCGAAGAAGGTGATGAGAGGCGCCTCGGCCCTTGCAGGCCGCGAACGCCAACGGCAAGTTGTCTGCCAGCAGGGCCGCTCTCCGATCGAGCGCCTCCGAGGACCTCAGGATGTGCTTGGCGGCCACCATGAGGGCCTCACCTTCAATCTCCAAGATGTTGGCGGGCCCGAAGACCTTCGAGGCGAGCACGGTGACCCACGGGCCCTCCAGGATGTCCCTCGGCACCTCCTCGAACCTGGCCTCCGAAACCTCTAGAAACTTCTGAACATCTGTGAACTCGTCGACGGGGTCTCCAGAGGCTCGAGGCACCCGATCAGGACATGCAGGAAGCGAGCTGCCAGCGGGCTGCCCGCAGACGTCGGAGGGAAGGTTGAAGGCGTTTTTCCGAGCTCGCTCAGCGCCCGCAACATGATGCCTCCAGCGCTCTGCGCACCGACCGACGATGCCAGCATGCTCCGGCGCCGCGACTCGAGTGCACACACCGATGCCGGAGAGGGAGGCGTCGGAGGAGGCAATAACATTATGCCAAGGGATATCGATCTTGGTGAACAGAAAGGGGAGGACAAACCGAAACGTCCACAGCTCTTGCCGAACACTCGGCCGCAGCTTCTGCGGGGTCTCGTCCACAGACTGCATATACTTATAACGCTGAAGAAGGCCAGCACCTCTCCCCGAAGAAGCGCAATCCTGGTGATGTGCCCCATGATTACCTGCAGAGCCGAGCCGCTGCACACGCCCCGCCTGAGCAAAGCCTCGATACCGCACCGAAGACGCCACATATTTTTGGCCTTCACCGCAACCGTTGATCCGTTGGTGAACTCAGACCGACGCACGACACATCACGGCTGGCAGGGCTCAACTCATGCACTGAAAGCCCCAGGGGCTCCAATCGGCGGCATACTCTGTCCAGGCCGCCCTGAACTGCGGCTCGATCCGAGCCAAGGATCATGGAATTATCGACATGCCCAGCACCCGCCGTGTCCGACGCGGGCTGGAGAGACACAGCCAGCAGTCCGTCCTCGATCGTGTTCGTGGCATCGAAATCCTCGCTCACCAGGGCGTGCCGAAGAACGCTCTGACAGATGCGCAGGGCCCAGGGCCATCCCATCGGAAGAACGCAGACGCACGGAGCTATCATTTCATGAGGGGCCACTGGGGTCTCGTCGAGTTCCACGATACCCAAATGCCTAGCTGCGATCGCGGGCAGCCTAAACATCTCGTCAAGGCCTTCGGGGATCGCAAGCCTATAAAAAAGCACACTCGATGTCACCAGCTGCAAAGAACGTCTCCCTCCCTACGTTCTCCAACCCCGAGAAGGCTCCCGGCGCCGGAAGACGTGTCCGAGGAGGGTCAACAAAATTGGTATTAGCAGCTCTCGTGTCAAAGATGAGTCTGAGGTCGCCAGATTTTTTGGCGACGAAAAACACGCCCACGGTGGCAGAACGTCCTGCGGCTCTGCGATACTTCACCAACCCGCGCTGCCTAAGCTCTGCTACAAAATCGCCATAGGCAAGCGGGTGATGCATCAGAACTGGATCAGTGTAGGGCCCATTCGGACACAGCTCCGCGCGCAGAGATTCCGCAGCAGCAGGCGATCTTAGCATGTGATCGCGCCAGCGGCCGAGCCAATCCGAGTCGGCCCGCGCGAGACAGTCGGCGAGCGCCGACGGGGCGTTGCCCCTAGCGGGCCAAGAGACGCTGCTCTTGACATACTGCCGTTGGACCTGACCCAGCAAAGAGCGGGTCGAGGGCTCCCTTGCGAAACGAAGGGTCGCCAGGAGGGGCGGGGGCACCGAGGTAAGCCGACTCGATGTTCCGAAGGGCGCGCTCCTGACTAGCATTCCGCACCGAGGAGGGCGGAGTACTGAAACCGAAAAACTGGTTGAGGCAAGCCACGCCATCACGAGCCCAGGCCAGAGCGCGAGGACTTCGCGCCAGCCGCCGGGCGGTGCCACGTGAGAGAGATGCCTTAACGCGGGCGTCAGAGCCAGCGCCAGGAGCAGGGAGCGGAAAGATGTCCCGATGCTGGGCAGGACACTGGGCAGACGCCTCTGAGCAGTTAATTTCAGCTCGTGCAGGCAGGCCAGCCGGAGACGCAGCTGGCCGGGGAAGCATCACCCCTGCTCCTGCTCTTTGTTGC